CATTTTTAAGCATAAAAATATCTATGATGTTAACACCTTCAGAAAACTTGACATATGAAGTTTTGAAGCTTGCTGTCAATACAACAAAGTAGCATACATGTCAAATCACATATATATCAACATATGTGTAACTCCCATCTAGTGAAAAAAAATCCGCATTATTAACTGGTACCCCTAGTAATTGGAAAGTAGAAAATAGTTTTGAGCAGTGGATGGTGATAAATAAGATTATAGTCCAGCTGGTATTGCTCAGTGGTTGAGCATCTACCTATGAACCAGAAGGTCACCGGTTGTATATCTAGTAAGGGCACATGCCTGGGTTGCAGCTCAATCCCCATTAGAGGGCATGCAGGAGGCAACTGATCAGTGTTTCTCACTCTAGCCAGTTTGGCTCAGTGGATAGGGCATCGGCCTGCAGACTAAAGGATCCCGGGTTTGATTCCAGTTGAGGGCACATGCCCAGATTGCGGGCTCGATCCCCAGTGGGAGGTGAGCAGGAGGCAGCCAATCAATGATTCTCATCATTGATGTTTCTATCTCTCCCTCTCCCTTCCTCTCTGAAATCAATAAAAATACATATTTTTTAAAAAACGTTTCTCTGTCATTGATGTTTCTATCCCTCTCCCTCTCTAAAATCAATAAAACCATTTTTTAAACTGATTTTTTGAGAAAGAGAATGGGAGAGAGAGAGAGAAACATTGATGTGAGAGCAGAACATCAATCAGTTGCCTCCTGCACAGTCCCTACTGGGCATTGAGCCCACAATCCTGGCATGTGCCCTAACCAGGACTTGGACCAGTGACCTTTTGATGCACAGGACTACACCCAACCTACTGAGCCATACTGGTCAGGGCAATAAAAACATATAAAAAAAGAAAATAAATAGGATTGTTAAAATTTCTGTTGTTCAATTAGTTTTCCTTCTTAAATGAGAGGCACCACATAAAGTGATATTGACTATCTTTCATTAACTATGGATTAGACTGTACTAATATCCCATGCATAGGTTAGAAAATTGATATATTTTTTCAATATATTTTTATTGATTTCAGAGAGGAAGGGAGAGGGAGAGAGAGATAGAAACATCAGTGATGAGAGAGAATCATTGATTGGCTGCCTCTTGCACACCCCCTACTGGGGATTGAGCCCACAGCCCAGGCATGTGCCCTTGACCGGAATCGAACCCAGGACCCTTTGGTCCACGGGCCAATGTTCTATCTACTGCTAGGGCAGAAAGTTGGTATCTTAAATGTGAGTTTTTGCCATATTTGTGGGAAATAAAGTTATTGTTCTGATCTACAAGCAGGTGTTACAATTATCCTTTTCCCAGCTGAAGGCAGTTTTTGGCTTTCTGCAGGTTTCTAACCTTGAGTGCTGTGTTTTTCTAATATATACATGCAAGTGTACAAGGAAAATGAGAGCTGTGGTTGATTGCTTCACATAATGTTACACAAGTCTCAGTGCAATGGAGAAAATTAATGACAAGTATTATAAAAATAAACTCCATTTGTTAGAAAAACAGAGTGAACATAAATAAGATAGGATGAACAACAGTCAAGGTAGTACAGTTTTCCAAATTTTATAAATGAGACTATTATGTGAGTGATAATTGAAGAAAACTTGAGAGTTAGTTGAATGCTCAAAATTGTTTGGATAGGCTGACATACTTTTTCTGTCTTCAAAAATTTTTATAGTATAAGGGAAGAAAGTATAGCCTGACAGTTTCTCATAGAGACACACTCCTACCAGTTAAGATGGGATTATCTATATAAGACATTGTAAATTGTATTTCCACTTTACTAATATTATGTGAGGAACTTTGGGTAAATAAAGATAATTGGAGAATATTAGATACAATTGAAAATATAAAAAAGAATGAGGAAAAATATAAATTCATAATTTTGCTCATGTAGGAAATGCAGTAATGCTGACCTCGTCTCATCACCCTGATCTTTTTACCTTAATTTGCTTTATTGCATACATAATCGTGCAGCTCTTTTCTTCCTTAAAGTTTTAAGGAAAATATTTAATGAAAGTGAAACATAACTATGTGTTTAGTGGTAAGAATATATATTTTTTTTGTTAAGGATATTCACTTGGATTATTAAAAATAGTATCAAAATTATCTCATTGTATACTTTTGTTTTGGGCTCAGTCCTGATTTGGAACACTGGAGAATTGCCACAAGAATGAGGTTGGTTTAAGACTTTGTTTCTCAGCTTTATTTTTCACTTCGGATTTGTGCACAGGATTAGTTTCAGGTACTTTTTCTTTGTATACTCAGTGCACAGTGAAACTAGACCAAAAGTTGAGCTTTCCAAAGTTTTAGTCTAGGACTGCTTAGTACTACTAGGGTTTTTGAAAAGTCCTTTATCGAAGAAGTCTCTGTCATTCAGTAACTTGTCTTAGATTGTGTGATTGCTGTCAGTGTTTGATAAATGGTGGGGTTGGAGGAGGGGGAGAATGAGTAACCTCATTTCTGATAGATTCTGTCCAAATTAAAAGGAAGAGCTTTTGTACTCAGTTTATTTAACTAGATTCAACCCTACCATATCTGTCTGTTACCTAGTGATAAAAAAGCCAACAAATAATTTTCTTTTGGGCCATATGTATAGCATTAGAAGAGAGCCTTTTATATTAAAGGCTTGTGTTTTCCCTTAGCTGCCATGGTGAACAGCCTACTGAGCTTATGTTACCTGATGAATAACTAGTCCAGATGGCTAAACTGTTGGAAGATATAAAACCAAAGCCAGTTACAGGAAACTATACACTTTGCTCATTTTGGGGTAAGATCCATTGTGGTGACTTTCTCAATTTGTTTTAAAATTTAATTTTTAACTGTTTTATTGATTTTTACCTAGGTTACAAAATATCCGTCTATGCTCGAGACTTACAGACTACATGTCCACAAGAACGATCCAATGGTTTTTCATTCCTTGAAGATACATTAGAAGCATAAATATGGTGCCAAAAGAACTTTCTACCCTTCTCTGACTACGGTTCATTTGGACATACTTTTGTACTGAAGAGAGGTATACAGCCTGAGGCTATTCATTGTGGAGCGACTCTGTCGGGTAGGATAATGGACCATCCTAGTAGGGAGAAGGATGAAAGACAACGGACCACTAAACCCATGGCACAAAGGAGTGCACACTGTTCCCGACCGACTGGCTCCTCAACATCCTCTGGGGTTCTTATGGTGGGACCCAACTTCAGGGTTGGCAAGAAGATAGGGTGTGGGAACTTCGGAGAGCTCAGATTAGGTAAGAACTTGATTATATCTATGACTTCCGCTAACTACAGCAGTAGCTCTAATAGGCAGTGGTGTGTTTCACAGCAAGTGGTTTATAATTTTATGAGAAATTCTCTTAATTAAGGATTCTCTTAAGAACTAAAGAATTTGTGAATGGGATAGTCATTATCAGTTATAATTGTTATGCAAGGTTCATGTCTATGTGTATAGGCTTTTATTTTTATTTTTATTTTTTTTAAATATATTTTATTGATTTCTTACAGAGAGGAAGGGAGAGAGATAGAGAGTTAGAAACATCGATGAGAGAGAAACATCAAT